GGCTCCCGGAGGTGACTCCTGGACTATCTCCGTCTATCTTTGTCCACCCTGTATCTTTAGCGCTTGGCATGCGGGAAGGAACTTATGTAATATCTGAAGGATGAAGAGGAAGGAATGGGGCCAGGCTGACTTCTGGCCGTCTCCCGACATCTTCTCTTATTCCAGTGGGTTCTTTCTTTCTTTACAGTTCCCTCTGTATCCCGGGGCCAGGCAGCTAAGATGGGACGTAGGTGGCCAGAAATCAAGTTAATGCAGCGGTCCAGGGATTTTCTGTTGTGGTACAGTGGCTTAAATATCTCATCTCTCCCCTCCAAGTAGACTTCTCCAGGCCACTGATGATTCTGCACGCACATTTTCATAAAGGCAATAAACTGAGTTTTCCAAGTCCAGGCTTCTCGAGAGAAGAAGGAATGGATGGCGAGCTTTTGGAGACCAAGTTGTCATTTTTAAAAATTTGTGCCCACTCCATCTGTGCTCGTCAGCCTTCTCTCATCTAGCCCAGTCCTCTGAAGTGAGAAGTTATCATCCCCGTTCTTATAGGCACAGAGGGGTGGCACAGAGTGCCCGTGCCATGCAGTTGATATGTAGATGTCCACGATTCGGACCTGGTTTGCCTCTTCTGCCCGGGCATGTGGTCTTCACAGGGCTCCGTGGACATGGCAGCTTTGACAGAGCAAACATGGGACTGTTGGCATGAGTCATGCAGAGGCCCCTGACTCAGCACGGAAGACACATATGCTGTAGGTACCCACTGCACTGCCACCCTCCTTTAACCCTGAGTGGAGTGCAAGAGTGCTGAGCTGGGGCTGAAGCAGCACTTTGATTTTGAACCCACTTGTCAGAATGTGTTGCTGGGGGCAGAATGACTCCTGAGCCCATAGAAAGGTCGGTGTGAGCAAAATCCATTTAGTTTCTGGAGTAACTTCAGGATGACTTGGTTTGTGGAAATGCTTGCTGTGTGTGTGTGTGTGTGTGTGTGTGTGTGTGTGTGTGTGTGTGTGTGTAGGGGCCTAGGGCCATACCTGACTGTGTATCAGAGCTACTCCTGGTTCTGTGCTCAGGAGAGACCCCTGGCAGTGATTGGGGGATCCTATGCAGTGCAAGGGTTTGAACCCAAGCAGCATGTCAGTCAAGTGCCTAACCCTCTGGACTGTCTCATCAGTTCCATCTCTGTTTGGGGGCTAGAACGAGAGCGATGTGTTTCTGCAACTGTCAGAGGTTGTTCCCACCAAGAAGAGATCTCCGCGTCATTGAAACGTTCTTGACTGATGTCCTGGCAGACCCAGGGCTTCCTGCACACCCCACCTGAGGGCGGACAGCCAGCTCTGGAAATCTGAGCATCTGTGTGTGCATGCTCAGCCCGCCTGCCTGTAACGTGCCCCCAGATCCGATGGGAAAGGTAATCCTGCATAGCGGGGGAGACTAAAACTGCCATCTGGCAGATGCTGGCAGATTAGCAAGGCTTCTCGACAAAGCCTTTAAGGGGGTTGAATTTCCTTCCCCCCTTCACACTCCCAGAGCGAGGAAAAACCGGTTGCTTCATTCAGCTCGTGCTAGAGCATGAGCGAGAGAAGGCAGGGGCTGGACAGAGACAGTGAGGTCTGAGGGGGAAGACTCTGGTCCCAGGAAATCCAGAGGCATGAATTCCCCTTCCTTAGGGAATTCTAGGCAAGGCATCAGATCACTCTTTCCTTTGCTTCCAATGGGACATAAATGCACTGACCTGATGGGGCCAGTGTTCGCAGGAAATGAAAGAGACAGAAAGTCCTTTGAAGGAGTTGAAAGTACCCGACAGTCCATCCCTCTCAAGCCTGCTGTCCTTCTTGGGAGACAGACTATAGGGCTCAGGGCCATCTATGAAGATCCCTGATTGTCTAGGGGGGAACTTTGGCCCATATCTGCTTGGGGGCAACCTAAGGGGGGCTGCCTGGTTCTAAGCTCTTTGGGGACTGGGGAACCCTGCGGTTTGAAAACCTGGAGAGAAAATGCTGGGAAGCCCAAGAGGGAAGCCACAATCATTACTGGTGAGGACGGGGCCAACCATGTGCCTTCTACAAGCATCTGTCCTTTGGGTTAAGCTAGTCGATACCTCTGCGTGCGTTGAGTTCCCTGGTTCTTGTCCGCAGTAGTCTTTTTCGGGAACAATCTTCCAGATTGTCCCACCAGATATTAAGATCTCAGCTGTAGAGGCACAGAAAAGAACTCGGACACAGTGGGACATTTACATCTGTCACACATCACGCTCAGGTTTCAGGGCCGAGTATGGGTGGAGAGCGCATCAAGAGAGACAAACGGGTGGAGAGTTCCATGCTGACCTTCAGTCAGGGGCCTGAGCTTCTGGGCCTCAGTTTCCTCATCTTTCAAGGGAGAATAGCTCCACCCAGTATAGTCTGGAACCTAGTAAGCAAGTCACAAAAGCCACTTGCCAGTTTTAGGATGTGGGGTGCTTGAGGAGAAAGGGGAGAACTTGTTTTATTTCAGTTTTGAAGTGAGGGGCCAGCAGGAACTGACACAAGAGGGAGGGATGAGCAGAATGTCTATAGACAAGCATTTGGGAGCTGGCATAAGGGGGCATAAAGGATGCCCCCACACCACATGTCGAAACACCAAGCCAGGGTGCCCCGTTGGGGCTGGGAGCTGGGCTTCTTCAAGCTAACTCTGAGATCACGCTGGCTGGGTGGTGTGCAAAGGCTGTGTGTAATTTTATCAATGTTTGAGGGTTAACAATAGAGCTATTTTCAATGCTGCCCCGAGCTCGTGAATCAGAGCTCCTATTCAGACTCAGGAATGGAAGGCGCAGAAGCCTTACAGCAGCTTCAGTAAAATAAGGCTAGTGCTTCGTCAGCAAAACCTTTTAGCAAACTGAACCCTGCTCTGCTCTGGTTAGACCTCCGCACCCAATGCAACACTCACCCACCCACACACATGTGCACTCTCTTGCTCACATTCCAGCCAAGGAGCTTGCCCCTGTGAGGCGCCTGAGAAGGGCGAAAGTGATGCTTAAGAGGATTATTTTTGTGTGCTGTGTGGAACGGCTTAGAAGATGGGGTGGGGTGGGGGATGCCAGCAATGAGGCATTGCAATCCAGTGTGCCCCTCTGGGACCTGTCTTCTGCTGATTTCTCCGCAGTACAGGGCTCAACAGCCTCGTCTAATCCTGCCAAGTGCATGCCAGCTCTCCCTGGCTTCACCCACAGCCCCCCTGAAATCCCCACCCACTATCCTCAGTCCAGACCTTGACTCCTACAGGGCAGGCGCCACCCTATGCCCAGTGAGCATGAAGGGCTGGTTCTCTTCCGTTCCAATTCTGATCAAAATCTTCCCACTTGAGACATCGGGAGGTCCAGGCAGGGGATATGTGGAAGCAGGCATATACATACATTGTCTAGCACATATGGTATCTGCTGTAGCATACGTATTATAGTATATGCTGGACTGAATAGACTGCAGCAGCAGTGACATTTCCTGAGGTCATTGCGTGCCTGTCCAGGAAGCAAAGGCATCTCCTTGAACCCTCTGGAACCCTCAGAGGTTAGATCTGCCCCAGCCCCCGAGGCCTTGGGGTGTCACACTTGCATTTCCGGCCATGCTCCTTCCTGTTTCCCACAGTCCTCTATCCTTCTTGGGATCCCTGGAGACAGACACCTCACCTGGGTTCTCAGTCTCGAGTCCCATCTTTGTACAGTGCGGGGAGGGGGAGGGGAGGGGGTCAGGACACAGGGCTGATTTCTGATTCTGTGGGTCACTCCTGGCGGGGCTTGGGGGAACCTGCGTGAATCTCCTCAGTCTCTGAATGACATATTTTGAAACAGTCAGTGGCATTCAGCCACGGATGGATGCCAGGAAAGCAGACATCCCATGAGAAGACCCCTGACATTGTTAGCTTAGGCATTCTAGATTTCACCACTGATTCTGAAATTTCTGTCTTATAGTTTGGGGGGGGGGGCAGGAGGTGTCCCAGCAGTACTCACAAGGTGCTGGCGTCCCTCCTGGTGATTCCTGCCACCTGGGCTTGCTGTTTGAAGTGAGGGCATGAGGACGCTTCACCCTGCAGTGTTAGAGACCTCCAGGACTATGCTTGGCTCTGCTCAAGGGACCATGGGGCACCGGGAGAGGGGCAGGAACATAGTGTGAGATGCTTGTGAGGCATATGTCCTACCCCCTGTGCTAAGTCTCCAGCCCCGCTCCCTGCTGAACTGGCCTGAAAGCCCACCATGCGTCAACTCGCTCACCTGTCCACGGAAATTTTTCTCCCAACTGCAGCGAGATGAAGCCTGTGCACAGGTGTGTGTGTGGGCGCCCCTTCCCCCCAAACCCCCGAGAGAAAGTGAGGATGCCCATGAGCAGATGGAGCTGCCCAAGCTTCAAAGCACAGACACAATGCTGCATTCAGACTCATGGTGATCGGAGTAACACTCAGGCGGAGCTGCGGTGACAAATCTCACACAGCCACTGGGGAGGGGGCCCAGCTCAGGGCTGCGGGAGCTGGAGCAGGGGTGGGAGGGGGGTGCAAGCAGCCAGTTGCTGCTTCCATGGTCCAGCGGGTACCCAAGTTCCCACCCATCACACACACACACACACACACACACACACACACACACAGAGGCATGCCTGTGCCCAGCTGAGACCCAGAGCAGGCAGAGAAAACCGTTTCCTGGTCCCAGTGCAAAATCAGAGCAAGGGGTAGAACAGCTCCCAGGATATGGTGATTCTCAGATCATAGACACTCAGCCCTTCTCCAGCACACGGCTGCCTGGGAGCAGCTGGAGGGAACAGTTAGCGTCTGTGCGTCTGTCTTTTGGGCCATGGGCAGCAGGGCTGCCATCCTGGGCTGGAGGCGGGGGGGATTTGGAGCAGTGGGCTTCGTACCAGCAGGTTATATAGATTCTCAGAGCGAGAACGCAATCCTGGCAGAGGACATTGGCTCAAGCACCTACAGCCTCTCATGGGCGGTTCGGATCTTTATTAGCTCGGGCACCCTCCAGAGCTCCCCGTCATGTGTCTGTGAGAAGGTGTGCGGACCCCATATCTCTCGGGGGTCACTCGCTAATGTGCTTCGCGGCCGAGTTGAGGATTTCTAGCCCGTGATGCTCTCTCATCTGAGCAGCAAACCTGTGGCAACGAGAACACAGACTGCAGGGCTCTGGGGTCTTCGGGTGGCAGCACTCGGAGCCCTGCAGAACACCACTGACTGCCCCCTTGGCTCCCCACAAGCTGCTGGACCTGCTGAGAATTCCCCCCCAGCGGCAGGGACCAGGGTGACATGCCCCGCACCCCCTCCACTGAGGGTGCCTGGTTCTCTAGGGGAAGGAGCTTTGATCTGGTACTTCAGGGGAACAGACCTTGGAAGGGCCTGAGATGCTACCCAGGCTGACATGCTCACTGCAAAGGCAGCACCTCCTGCCGGCTGGGACTACACCTCGAGGGCACAGGTGGCACCTCTGGGAGGGAAGGGCGACACAGGGATAGTGGAATGGATGATGGGGTGTCGGGGCCCAGCCGAGCAGGATGACGGAGGAGTGGCACTGAGCTGCCAGCACCGTGCCTGGTCCAGCACCCTCTGGCTCTGACCAGGAGGGCCCAAGCCAGTTCCTGGGTCTGCTCTCTGGACCCACCCACCTGGGCTCTGCCGTGCACAGCTTCCCCAGAGCGATGCCCGCGTTCAGCTGCACAGCCGAGGGCCGGGAGTCGCTGCCCGCAAGCCCCAGCAGGACGCGCACAATATCGGAGCTCAGCAGGCCGGGTGCCCACGGCACCTCCATGCAGTTGCCCAGGCACAGGGCCGCGTTGCCTGCCAGGATCTCATCCTCCGAGTGGAGCAGCTCCGTGATGAGGCTCAGCTCTGCGGGAGAAGTGGGCGACAAGCACGGTCTCCATCGCTGGCAAGGGGACAGGTGACCCCACGCGCGAGACCCACCCAGGCACCCCCCCCCCAACCCTACCCCAGTCCAGGGGGTCTCTGAGGTCCCTGGAACCCAAAGCAGGCCCGGCCTCCTCCAGGCTGGACCTGGGAGGCCCCAGGACACCTCCAGTGTGCTTGAGAGGGGGGTGGGCGGGCTAGAGAACATTCGAGGCTTGCCTCATCAGCTGGAAACCCCCGGCCGGCAGGGAGGGCTGTGCCCCATCAGTTCTGAGAAGGAAGGAGGCCTCAAAGGGTTTCCTTGGCCACTCAGGCTGGAAGGTGTCTCCCTACCAGAGGCAGCATCTGGGGTGCCCCCAGCAGCCAGCAGAGTGCAGGTGAGGACCCCACATCCCGCTCTGGGCCTGCCCCGGCCTAGGTATCCATGATGCTGCAGCCCAGGGTCTCTGAGCGCCTCCTGTGCAGAGGGGAGCCTCCAGCCGCTGTGTGAGCCAGGGTGAGTGGGGCAGGGCGCTGCATAGGGACACCCTGACATGTCCCTCCCTACTCCCCCCACCCCCACCATGGCCTGATGGAAACTTTGCCTACTTTTATCCAACCTCAGCACCATCTCCCGTGCCTCGTGGACACTGTTGGTGCAGATCACGAGCGTCTTGATGGCATAACGTGATGCGGTCTGGCCGCCAGCCTAGAGTGCAGAAGGGAAGGAGAGAAACGGAACTGCGGGGAACAGCCCAGATGGCGTGGGGGGCTCCATGTGCCCCCACAGCAGGAAATTCTGCGGGGCCTGTCGGGTGCGTCTCCCGGTGAGCCTGGTCTCCCGCATCCCCCGGGGCTGCCATCACTCAAGTCCCTGCAGGGCTGTCAGGCTGTTGCGTCCCAAGTGGTTACCTGTGGAAGGCCCTCCAGGGAGGGGCTGAGCAGAGATTGATGCTGCCAACCAGCAGAGCGAGGGAAAGGAGGAAGGCCCCTCCCAAGGCAGGACGCCCATGTGAGGGGTGTGGGGCTGGCTCGCCAAGGCCCTCACCCCGGCAAGCCCGAGAATGCCAGGAGCCTCGGCCATTCTAAGTGATGACAAGGATCACAGTCTGACCCCGCGGGTCACTCATCTCAGGCCTTTCTAACGGATCACTTGGCTGGAGGCACACGGTGTGTGTGTGTGTGTGTGTTTGTGTGTGCGTGTGTGTGTGTGTATGCGCGTGTGTGCATGCGTGCACCATTGGCAGGCTCTGGCGGGCTTATGTCCGAACAGCAGCCACAACTCAGACCCACTGTCCGACCTACCCTCATGGCTTTGCCCTGCATCCTGCTCCCACAAAGCCAGTCTGGGACTCTGTGATGGTCCCCTGCTTCCTGACCCTGGTGCGGGGGTCACCACACAAGGCTGAGTGAACCCTATGGGGAACAGATGGCACAGGCTGTGGGGAAATGTCTCCTCGGGGGTAACTGTGGCCTGACTTCTCTCACAAGTGGATTCTTCCCAGCCCCCTCCGGAGAGCCGGGGAAGGCACTGTGAGCAGAGAACCAGAGCCGTGGGGGCCCAGGGAAGTGTGTGGAGAGCCCTGTGTCCTTTGGAGGGGCCCCATGTTTTCAGTCGGACAGCACAGTACAGGGATGCAGAGCGGACAACGGTCTTGTCTGCTCACAGTGCTCTGCTCAGGTTACTGTGTGCTGTCATGCTATTCTGTTCCTGTCTGTGTGGACGGGCAGGACAGACTCCCTGTCGGGGAAGGTCAGCGGCCAGCAGGGTAACAGGGCCACGTGTCAGCCCAATGGTGCTAAGCCAGGAGGCGATTTTACCTTCAGGAACTTGATCATTTTCTTCACCACTCCAGCTGTGAGGGCCTCCTCCACAATGTGCCGAGAGGAAAGCAGCGTGCGGCTCAGAACCCCGGCAGCTCTCTGAGGGGAGCAGAGAGTAAAGGCTAGTCAGATACTCCTTCCAGAAGCACCACAGACCTTTCCCAGTTTTCAAGGTGTACGTGGAGGCAGTAACAATCACGAATGCTGGGAGCGAATGCTGCATGCAAAGATTTATTCTTTGATCTGGGGACACATACCCAGGGGTGCTTAGGGTTTAAACCTGGTTTTGTACTCTGGAATTCTCACTAGAGGAACTCGGGGGACCACCTGGGGTGCTGGGGATCAAACCTGGGCTCATCATGTGCCAAGCACGCGCCCTGCCCACTGTACTCTCTCTGGACCCCTAAAATCTAAAAACTGATTTTAGTTTTCAGGTTTTGAGCCAATCCCCTAAGGGACTGTTTGGAAAAAAAAAACATCCAGGAAGACAGGATGAGTAGTGCTAATTACTCTAGGGGTTGTGGCCCAATGAAAGCTCTAACCCTTATACCACAACTACACCCTCCCCCCAATGGGGACACACACACACACACACACACACACATACACAGACACTCAGAACAATTGTAGGCAGTGCTAGGGCACCTGAAGACCTACTACACATTCTAGGAACCCAAGTCAAATGCAGATGCCCCCATAATGTCTAAACAGGCCCTGTGGAGCTGATGACTTGCTGGTTCCCAGCAGGATATGCTGAGTCTGCTCATACCCTTTATCTCAAGACCAGTGCTCGTGCCCAGCCCACCATCCTGGAAGAGCTCTAGAAGCAATGCCATCCTTTCTCTCAGCTCTGAAGCCCTGACACCACAGGAGGAGAAATCGGGGCCGTCCCTAAGGTGAACCAAGAGCCCGTCCATGGATGATGGGAAATCGTCTCTAGATTCCAATTACTATTCTTCTCCTGGTGCCCTGTGCTAAGTATAGGCCTCTCTCGACTTTCTTATCCAAATGTCAGAGACAGGAGTACGTCAGTCCTTCCAGCAGAGACCTCTAAAGGGGGCTTTACCTGATGTGTAAATAAGCTTCCAGATCTGAGCTTGGCCTTTTTGACTATGCAACAGGAGAGTCTAAATAAAACCATGCGCCTGCCTGGCGGGCATAAGGATGCATCAGACAGATATGTCCGTAAGCTGTGACGTAAGCTGCTTCCTCAGACCACAGAGGAAAAGGGGTTCTCAACTCAGGTTCCTGTACCTTAGGGGCCCGCAGGGGTCGTGTGTCTCAGTGTGTGTGTGTGTGTGTGTGTGTGTGTGTGTGTGTGTGTGCAGGGGATGGGGGGTACAGTGTGTCACCAGGTCTCCTGACACTGTAGAAAAACTTGGTGTTTACATGTTCATGGCCCTGAAGAGGATGTCTTGATGAACCCCAGAGTTGCAGGGCCCAGAGGTGGAGACTGCAGAGGTGAAGGAAGAACAAAAGGAAAGGAGAACAAAAGGAGCACCAGGAGAGAAGCTGCATCTGCTCACCGTCAGGATTCCTCCATCCTGGCTGTTCAGCAGAGAGAAGCATCTCCGGCTCACCTCCGTGGCCCAGATCTAAGAGGGGAGAGAGGCAGGAGGATGTTCTGGAACATTCTGTGGACCTTCTGGACACCCCTCCTCTTCTCACACCAGTACTCTTGCCCCGAGCTCCCTCACAGCACTTTCCTCTCCAGCCTGTTGACATAGACACCCTCCCAACAAGGGGTCCCTTCCCATCTGGGAGCCCTGTTCAGCTTCCAAGGCCCTCAGTTTTCTGAATTCAGCCCTGGTGGGAAGACCCGTCTCTCCCCCAGCGTCTGTCCTGATGTTCCTGTCCTGGCTGCCACTGTGAGCCCAAGGGCTCAAGAGCAGCTGTCTTGAGCTTCCAGGTGGTGAAGCAACAGAGCCCTACCTCAGAGACAAAGGGGATGTGAAGGCACAAGTTCATCAGGAGGCCCAGGAGCGTATAGATGACATCTCTGAACGCCTCCGTGTCCTCCTCACACCTGATCTTGGGAGGGAGGTAAGACGAGGGAAATTATGACCTGTTGGCTCTTTCTGTGGCCATTTCAAGCCTGTGATAACAGCCTGTGTATTGCCCACACCAGCTCAGTAGCTGACATGGAGCCCCTGTGTGATGCTGGAAGGTGAGAGCTGGGTTCCATGAGTGACTGTGTGTGTGTGTGTGTGTGTGTGTGTGTGTGTGTGTGTGTGTGTGTAAGAAGCTTGTCACATATGTGGGTCTGTGTCATGTGACTGAACGGAAGAGGAAGAAGCTGTTAAAACAGGTGGTCTAACCAATGCCACTCCAAAATCCACCAAGCCACTTCTGGGTAGATGAGACATGATCTGGAGGAATCTTTTCAGGTTAGTCACCCAGAAAAAAAAATCTATGATTACAGGGATGGAGATGCCACTGGCGCCAGCACCCTCAGAATCAGACTTGCCAGATATTAGGGTCCCAGGGCCTCTGAGGACAACCTAAGGCCAGGTCTCCCGAGTAGATAAAAGACCAACTTTGAACAGACAAACGGAAGTACCAAGAGCCCCAAGCAGGCATCTCCGAGTTCCTCAGAGGCGGCCATCTCTCTCCTGGAGGCTACATCCACGCTGAGGTTTGTCATGACGGCCACACACTGGTAGAGAGCTGTGGGACTGGTCGCCGTGGGGTCTCGCCTCTGAAAGTGAAGTGAGAGAATGTGGCGGACCCAGAGATCAGGCAGGGAAGTTAAGCACAATCTCAGGAGGCTTGTCATGCTGAGGGGCATCAGGGAACCCCAACAGACAGTCCTAGGACATTACCGGGGTGCCCCCGGGCACAGGCAGGCCACAGTGTGAAGACACACAGAGGGCTTGATTCCAAAGCAAGCTAGTCTCAAACGGGGATGCCTTGGGTGTGGCCTCAGGGAACTACCAACCAGCTCAGAGAAATTGGCCAAGGGCCTCCCCTTCTCAGGGCTGCTGCCTGCACCCGTGAAACACTGCGTGTGCTTACGATCCAGTCCCCTGAGACATCTATGGCTGCCTGGGGACAGGCTTCTCTGGATGATGGAGATGAAGGTTTGCTCACCAGAATGCCCATGAATGTGGGAAGGATGTCTGCAAGGTTGGCCCGGAACCAGACTTGGAATCTAGTGAGAAAACATCAGCCGTGGTTTGTCTGCATGGCACAATCTGGCACATAAATACAGTGTCATGGGGGAACAGATTGGCAGCGGGCATGTAGAAGTCCTCTGGGACCCAAGAGACGTGGCCCCAGTTGTGATATGGCATTAATGTGTCCACGTCCGGAGACTTGCCTTTGATGGCAGGCAACAACCGATCTTGCATGGTCGCTCTTGTGCTGAAGCTACTGGAGTCCCCGGGCTTCTGCCTGACTGACCAACCCAGCCAACCCACACTTGCTCAGAGGCTCTGGGCTGTGTGCCATGCACAGAGGGAAGCCCAGGCCAGCATGCTGACCTGCCCAAGGGAGTGAAGGCACAGCTTCATGTGCCATGGCCACCAACCGTTCCCAGCCCATGCTAAGGCCCGTCGATGTGCACACAGAGCGCTCTCTCTGTCTCTCTCCTTAGAGACCCCAAGGTATTCAGGAAATAAAACAAAACAAAACAAAACAATACAATATGTACTAAAATGAACCAAAAAGCCCTCAAGAACCCTAAAAAGGGGCCGGAGCAATAGTACAGCGGATAAGGCATTTGCCTTGCACGTGGCTGACCCGGGTTCGATTTCCAGCATCCCATATGGTTCTCCGAGCACCAGGAGTAATTGCTGAGTGCAGAGCCAGGAGGAACCCCTGAGCATCACTGGGTGTGACCCAAAATGCAAAAACAAAAAAAAAAACCCTAAAAATCTAAGACCTGTACTGTCTCACCCAGCAAATGAGCTGGGAAAAAAAATTGGGGTGGGGGAGATGGTCACTGCTAACACACTGGTCAGCCAGGGGGAGGCCGCATTTCCTGCACATTTTCTCTCCTCACCTGACTTCAACCCAGCGCTGGCACTGAGTAAGGGGAAGCCGCTTTCCTGACCTGTGTGAGGCTGTGCCAACATATTACCATGCCCATACCCGGGAAGGACTGGTCTCTCGAATCCAGAGAAACCTGCAGTGGCCGAGCACAGCCCCTGAAGGCATCGGTGCATCTATCCCAGAAGGCCTGACCGCTATCTCTCCAACATCAGACAGTCCAACAGGGACTGACGCGGTGGCCACAACTCCTGGAACTCAAAGGAACTTCACTGGGCTGGAGAGACAGTCCAGTGCGGAGGACACTTTCCTTGCACGTGGCCAACCCGGGTATTGAACAATCCCCACCACCGTGGAGACGGGTCCTCTGGGCACTGCCAGGAGTGATCCCTGAGCACTGTGAGGAGTGGCCCCAGGACCAAGAGGAAAGCGGCAACACGTACCTCTCCTCTTGAGCCAGGTCAGCGAGCAGTCCCATGGCGGAGCTGGCCCTCTTATCTGAGAAATCCAGGAATGATGCCAGGGCCTCCAGCAGTCTGCAGAAAGTTCAGAGCAACCTCACCAGGGGCTGCCCCCTCCCAAACCCCACGCCCTGGCTTTTAAGGGTGCCAGGAAGCGTCTGCAGCGGGTGGAAGAGCAGAGGTGGGACTGGCCACAGGCTCCCAGGATGCCCCCGGACCTGCCAGAGAGCAAGTCTAAGTGAGAGACCTGGTGGCTGAGGAGGTTTGGCCAAAGTCCCTTAGACAAGCGACGTCAACCTGGGCTGCACGCACGCGAGCACCATGGTTTCTGTCCCGGGAGATGCTGCTGCTGCCCCCTTTGCTCCTCGGTGTGTCCTGAGAGGACTCCTCATGGGTCCCCCCAGCACGGCCCTTCCTACCGCCCTCCAGTGCCCCTACGTTGGGGGTGCTCTGTGCTCCGTGGGCATCTTCAGACAATGGTCCCCCGCCATAAGGAACCTGTGTGCGCCTCCGCTCTGGCCCTGAACAACAGACCCTGATGGGAGCAAAGGCAAGTGATGACAGGGGTTACGGCCGGATCCATGGCATGGGGTGGGCCAGAGACCAGCTGCTTCCTCACGGTGAACCCTGCAGCATCTGCTGTTCCCTAATGCCAGACTGTGGCCACAATCACTCTCCCAGATGGCAGCCCAAGAGAGACCAGAAGCCGCTTCTCCATAAAAAGGAACAGGCTGGATGATGCCAGCCTGCCCGAAGAGGGACGTGATGCCTGGAGTCTCAGCAGCCCCGTGGGACCAGGAGAGAAAAAGTCCAAGGAAGGGCAGGGACATGGGGACATGGGCGCTGGCGTCTGGAGGCCACAGCTCCTGTGGCTGCCATCGCTTGTCCTCTTTACTCTGGGAGAAACACAACTTTTCCTGGTCACGTTGTCTCTAAGACGAAGTGGAGGCCATCTTAAGGGGCATGTGTCGTACGCACCCTCAAGCTTCAGCCCAAACCTGAAATAAGGGAGGGGGCATGCTGGGGCTCAGTCTCCTTGCTGGCAGGTAGATTTACGGGGTTCCAGGAGTGGAAAGAGAGAAGCGGGGGAAGGAGAGTCTAAACACCACGAAGTGTGGAGCCCCCCCCGCCCCCCCCCCCTCCCCCCCCCCCCCCCCCCGGCCTGTTTCCTGTCAGCACACAGCAGGGAGAATTCTCACATGCACCTTCAGAGCAGGAAGCTGCTGCGTGGGTCCTGGGTCAAGGGGGCTGCCCATCTCTGCTGGTTTAATTAGGGGGGAGAGTGGGAGTTACAAAGGCTCCCTGGGGAAGTTCCTGTGACTGTGTAAACGGGGGAGGCGGAGCTGCACATGATGGTTACAAAGGACACCCACCGAGACCCTGGGATAAGCCACACTGGAAAGAATGCAAGTCCAGGAACGCTCGAGGGAAAAGGCTCCTCCTAACCACCACGACATTTACTCAGAGAGACCCAAATAAGTGGGGAAAAAAAAAGAAAGAAAGAAAACAGATGATGAAGGTGTGGAGGAAAGGGTTGCAGAGTCACTGGAGATGGGACGTGTGCTTTTGAGGATCTGACGCTGTTAACAACCCAGTGGTCTGCGTGGGCTGCTCTTGGGGTGGCGGAGGGGGGAGGGTTGCCTGAGCCATTTCCTGTGATCCATGGAAAGGTGTGACTGAGAAGGGGGCAGTGCCGAGGGAGACCCACAGTCAGGCTTAACGTCCACCTTGCCCGTAGCACATAACTCAGCTCCAAGGGGCTACATAACTCGCCTACAAGGGGCAGGTGACCGAGGCCCGCCTGGGTCCAAGAAAGCGGAGAGGGTTTCAGCTTTGGCTCCTCTCCTTGGGGAGAGTGAACAGGAGCTGGGTTCCAATGCCTGGATGATGCTGGGGGTCAGGGATGAAGCACTCTTCAGGCAGGCTCTGACGGGTGCCACTGCTTCCGTCAGGCAGACTCACATTGCCAGCTTGGCACCTTTGTGATGGGGGAAACGGGATGGAATCGCAGTGGCTCGTAATTTGTAAGTAATTTCTACTTAGGAGAGAGGCATGTTCTCTTCGGATTGCCACAGGCCTTGCACAGACCATGGGAGACGAGTTGTATTCAGTTACATTCTACCTTCTCCAAATAGGGTTTAGGAGATGAGGAGAGAGGAGAGAGAGAGGAGCGAGTGAATGAGAGAGAGAGGAGAGAGAGAGAGGACTGCCTGACAGAGGGATGAAAAACAGGCCAAGACTTAAGCAAGGGAGTGCCAGATCTGAGCGGAGAAGAGCAGAAACAAATGACCCACATTAACACACTGACGTGGCCGGTGTGGGCCACTGGTGGCTCACACTTGGATGTGGCTTCGTTAACTCAAACCGCAGTACCCGTGTTCAGATGCTAAGCGTGGGGTCCCAATCTGCTTCGAGGAGGTGCTGCCCTGGCCACGGGTCGGTGGGCCTCTGTGAGGAGGCAGAGATCAGCTCTAGAGAAGGGAGTTGTCCATGGTGCTACCTTCCAAGAGGGGCTCGCCCCTGATCATTCCTAACTTGGCTTCTTCTGGCTGGAATCCCCAATACAGGCCAAGGGCATGCCTCGCAGCTCGCATGTGCAGGGGAGATGATGGGGCAGGTGAGAGACCTGGGGCGCAGGGGAGCTGCCCGCAGAGCCTTACCGAGTGAGGTCCAGGTGGCTGATGATCAGGAGCCGTCCATTCTCGGTCTGGGCGAGCTGCAGCAGCAGTGCGAGGCTCTCTCGCTGGACGCTGAGGACCGTGGACAGCAGGAGGGAGGGCAGCAGCTCAGCCGTGTAGGGGTCTGCCAGGAGCAGCCGCTGGTTTTCCTCTGCAAAAGATCCAGAGGGTGTCCCCCTTGTGCACCCGGTGAAGCCTGTCTGTCTCCGACATCCCGTCGGAGGCAGTGCTGAGGGCTTAATGCTGCCCCCTCATCTGAGAAGCAGGGCACTGACGGGCTGGGACGTGGACTCGGGGACCAGGTGGCTGGGTCTGACTGAAGGGCAGCTGGCCTGTCTTTGTCCAGCTATTCATGCCTGCGGTCCCGTTTCCTCCCATCTAACAGCAATCCAATGAGGATTCAGTGAGTTAACCCCGATCCCGCTAAGAGCAAGGGCCGGCATGATCCTGTAGCTAATCTCATTATTCTCGTGGAAGGGCCCGCTGGGAAGTATCTGGAGAAGGAAAGAAAGGTAAAGAGATCGGCCTAAGGCAGATGGTCTAGTTTGGGGCTGGTCCACAGACCAGTGTCAGCAACTTCCTGCTGGTCTATGAACTGGATGGGTGTGGATTCCTCTAAACCAGTGCTCTTCAACTTCCGGTGCACAGGCTGGGGGGACTGCAGTGGAGCAAGGTGGAAAGCCACAGTCTACCACTTGCGTTCCAACTGCTGGTGCATAGGGTGGGACGCTTGGGAGTGGCAGAGCCCAAACCCTGAGATGTCCCAGAGTTCAAGAGAGCCGCCCACCTGGGCTGGGAGTGTGGATGAGACTCTTCTAGAAACAGGCTGCCTACTTCTCAACTTTTCTAAAACTCGCGATGAATCTTCCTCTCAACTAAATTAAGAAAGCAAAAAAAAAAAAACAAAGGCTTTATCTCACATTCGGCATTTTCTAATTCTTAAGCTGCGTGAGCGAACTCTAGGGCTAGCTCCCCAAGGAACTCATAAAGAAGGGAAAAAAGATACAGTTATTCCACTTTCAATGTTTATGTCTATGGCTGGGCCTTTTCCTATGGAAAAACTCTTTAATTTAAATGGGGGGAAACTAGTTTTCTTTAAGGTTGGGTTCCCAAGGGGAGAAGAAAGATGGTGCCCAAACTAAGGAAGCCACAGCAGAGGCAATGATGGGAAAAGATAAGTGTTATTCTTTCTCTCTCTCTTTCTCTCTCTCCCTCTCTCTCTCTTGATCTTTTTTTGGATCATGCCTGGCGATGCTCAGGGGTTACTCCTGGCTCTGCACTCAGGAATTACTCCTGGCGGTGCTCGGGGGACCATATGGGATGCCAACGATTGAACCTGGGTTGGCCGCATGCAAGGCAAAAGCCCTCCCTGCTAGACTATCGGTCTGGCCCAACAAGCGTTATTTTCACAAGGCAGGCAAAAATCCCGAGAACATCTTGCTGCTCCAATATCAGGCCCTGAGCAGAGTCCCAACAAGCTAACAGGGATCATCCTAAATCTCCTGATGTGATGCTGAAGTTGGGGCAGTTGTAAAGAAGGAGGCCTTGAGGCAGCACAGAGAGGGAAGACTGTCCGCTCTCATGCCCCACGAGGGCATAGCCCAGAGCGTGCAAGGAGCAGGCAAGTGCTCACTGCACCTCCTCCCGATGCAGGACCCCTGCCTGCTGGGCAGGCAGCTCACTGGCCATCAGACACCTGACTCAGAGCGGGTCTCATGGGGGAGGCAAACCAGGAGGGTGACCGGCAATCAGGTGGCCATGGGGTTCCTGCATGACCAGCACAGTGACAGCTCTCTGGGGCGGCCCAAGCTTACCATTCTCATGTGTCACTCTCTGCCAGAGCCTGAGGACAGACACACACACTGTCTCCTCCACGGAATCCTTCTCCGTTGCCAAAAAGCACCTAGGATGGAGCAGGGGCGTGAGGATGAGGCACAATCAGGTTGGGGCTTCCGCTCGTTGGTTATTTTTGGGCCCAGGAGCCCCTCAAAGTGGGAGGAAGAAGATGCATTTATGACCCCACTCACAGGTCAATAGATGCATGCTTGGCTGAGACCTGGGCCGAGGGGGCCACGACCAGCATGCAGGAGTGGGAGGATGGGGCCCCACAGGAAGGTTGGGAGCGAACTCTGGGTGGCGGGGCAGGGGGCGCGCACATATGGGGCTTTGGGCCACGGGACTCCCTCAAACCACAGGCTCCAACCCACCTCTGCAGCCTCAGCTGAAGAGAGCCCAGACCAAGTGGAATACGAAGTTAGATCAAGACATGCCCCAAACTAAGTCTTGCCATCTGGGTCTCTCCTCAGATGAACTCTGAATGAGGCCCAGCTGGTCTCATTTGGTGACATGAGACCCTCCCCATCCCAAACCCACGGTGCTTCAGCCAAGAAAGGCAACTTCTCTCTGATTGAGGGGGGCCCAGGAGCTGGTGGGCCATTGTTCTCCCAGTAACTGTGGCCCCACTACAACTCCCTGAGGTGCAGAGCTTGGCTGGAAGGGGCAGAGGGTGAAGGTGCTCGCCTTGCACATGGTCCCCTGAGCACAGAGCAGGAGTAAGCCCTGAGCACTGCCAGGAGTGATCCCTGAGTGCCACTGAGTATGAAGCAATCGCCCACCCCAACAAATGAAAAAGCTTGAGGGGTGCATATGTGGCAGCCTGTGCTCTGCTGGGGGCCACCAGGACTGACAGAAGGATGGCACCGCGGGGGCAGTCCTGCTTAGAATCAGGACCTGACACCCTCCCCACCCTGCCCCCCCCCCCACCCCAAGCGTCGCTACCTTCTCACAGTCTCATTCTCACAGATGATACTGAATCCGTTGTGTGTCCGGAATAGTGTCCGCTCTGTGGCTGCCAACAAAATCACAGAAAACCAAGTGAGACTCCCCAGCTGTCTGAGCCAGAGTCTGGCTGCCACATAGAGACACCCCATAGGGAATGGCAAGGATGTCAAATCAAGGGTCCGGGCAGAGGGAGGAAGCAGCATCTTTACCCTGAGATGTCCAGGGGCTACCACCTGCACTCTGGGGCCGAGTGAGGGCCGAGCTGGGCAGCCCTGCAGCCTCTCTGACAACTCATCATTTTATATCAGTTTTTGGGCGTGGGGAGGGCATCCACACAACGGTCAGGACTAATCCGGGCTCTGTGCATCAGTTAGATGCTCTTCTGTCTCTCTGGTCCCAATCACTCTGTATGTTAAGCATCTCCAGGCGTCACTTAACCTCCAGGAAGAACTGCCATGTCCATTCATTGTTAAATAGTTTTTTCTGAAGCCACTGCCAGACTCTAGAGAAGAAACTGTAATGTCCAAGAAACTACAATGGAGGTGTCTGAGCTTCAGCACTGCGTATTAGGACAAGTTAAAAGACGTGACCTGTTGTTGCCGGCATCCCACCTGAGCAGCAGCAAACAGGGCGTCCATCCTGGCACTAGTTTGCCGGGACTGCACAGAGAACAGCAGCGTTCTGGCTAGGATGGATGTCTGTCTGAACCTGCTCTCACCGCTTATGGAGTCATTTGGTGTCAAGGGAGGCGAACCTTCATTCCTGTGGTGAAGGGGAGGTTAAAGAGGGAGAGGTGGAGTGGCAAGTGGCTATGTGCAGGGTTGGGAGAGCGAGTGCAGGGGTGGATCTGGCATGGTTCATGGGAGCTGGGATATATTGCATGAGTGTGTGTGTGTGTGTGTGTGTGTGGTTTATGTGACATAAATATACATGGAATGAGTAAATGTGTCATCTCTGTGTCCGGTGAATGTGATAAAGACATATGGCATGAGCATGTGTTGTCCGTGTGTGTGTGTTGTGTGTTAGTACATATGGTTTGAGTTGTGGTCATGTGTGTGATGTGATGGTCTGCGGAATGAATCCATCCCGTCTGTGTGTATGCTGAGCGTATATACGCTCTGGGCAGAGGATAGAGTTGGGGTGGGGGGATATTTCTCATGCACCCTCGAAGCACCTACATTATGGTATATTTGTGGAGGGAGGGGACTGGCTCTGTCCCTCCCCATTGACAATACTCATCGCCACACGCATCTCTGGCTTACAATCCTCCATCAACTCCGTCAGGATTTCAATGCCTCCTGCATAAAACAAGGGCATCTGACCAGGCTTGGAAAGCGTCTCCAGGAGAGCCTTGGTGGAAACAGCTGTGCCCCTTCCCGACGCCAGGAGCTCCTGAGCCTCCTTCTCTTGAAGGTCTGCTTTCTCCTGAAGATCCACTTGTCTGAGGCAATCTAGAAATACCAGAAAAGGTGGGGGGGGGGGGGGAAGGGGGAGGGAAGTGCGAATGAAAACCAAACCTCTTTTTTCTTCCTTTTCTTTTGAGGATGGGAGACTGAAAACTAAACAGAGCGTTAACACGATTCAAGCTCTTCTTCAACAGAGAAAACTTCTAGAAGAGCGTCCTGTCTACGTAGGGTCTTACTCTGGGTTGGGGACTCAGAGATAACATCTCCCCCTGCTGAGCAGGTTCCACGGGAGGGTGGAGTGTAGAGGAGGAAGGCATGGGTCTGGGCATGAGATCAGAGGGCAGAGAACGGGCACACAAGCACCCTGAGGTGGGGCACCAAGTTGGCGCGAAGGTCAGACCAAGACCACCAGTGGGAACATTCTCACCTTTCACCTCTTTCTGGAGATCAGGGCTTATTTCTAAGATCTTCTGAAAACACTCTCTAGACTGGAAAACAAAATTGGGGGTTTGTGGTGATTACAGAGAAGATACCAGCATCATGGGGCTTGGCTGCCTCATTATTTCCTCCTAACTCCGTCCTGCAGGACCAAGCAGAGGCAGGAGGCAGGAGGATCCTGGTGCGGGGCTGCCATGCTGGGTTGGCCTCTCTGGTCCTGCAGAGCTACAGGGTCTTGTTTTGAGATTTACTGTTTTTTTTTTTTTTAAACGCAATGGTCAGAGTCCGGGATGGAGACAGCCAGTGCTAATTGCGTGTGCAGCCTGTCTGGTGGGGCTAGGAATAATGGCAACATAAGAGCAAAATTTAGATTTTCTGTTTGCTCTGAGTGGGAAGGGAAGGCCAGATGCACCTGTGGGATGAGGAATAAATAAATGAAGCTAGAGGCGATGCTGACAGAAACCTGGGAGATGGGAAAGACAAATGCCCCTTCCTGACGCCAGGAGCTCCTGAGACAAATGCCTGCTTAGACGGACAGGGCGGCTAAGGGCCAGGATGGGGGCCTTCGTGGGCCCCAAAAGTGTCAGCTGGAAAACATGATGGTGTGGGTGCAGGGGGTGGCTTCACTGAGGAAATGGCCAGAGAAAAAGTTTCTGCTGCCTTTCTGGACCTGAGCAAATTCTTGCTCCTGGGTTTGAGGCAGTATTGTCCACAGGCCTACCAGGAACTGCCTGGAGTACAGGATGAGGGAGTTGGCAAAAGTAAAAAGGTAGGGAAGACGTGAGTCTCAGGCATCGTGGAGGCTCAAGGAGCAGCCAGAAGACTGAGACGAAGGAATGAACTGAAGAAATCTGTGGGAACTGAGCACGGTGTCATGGGAGAGAAGAATCCACAGCCAACACGATGACTTCCATGGTGCAAAAATGACACCCGTGCAACCAAGTGTTGAGACCTCACCCTGCAACGGGATGAGCCTTGAGAGGTCATCGGGGTGGAGCACTCATGGCAGGGTCCTCACCCAGGGCTCTCTTCTGGCCCTGGCATTGACCCGGGAAGGGGAAATCACACACAGTATCTACAGTGCCTTGATAAGGGACTTCCCAGCCTCCAATACTGTGAGAAAGAAATGTTTGTTCTTGGGGCCAGAGCGATAGTACCGTGGGTAAGGCGTTTGCCTTGCACGCAGCTGACCTAGGTTCCATCCCGGGATCCCATATGGTCCTCTCGAGGGTTAATTCCCGAGTACAGAATCAGGAGTAACCCCTGTGCACTGCTGGTGTGACCCAAAAAGCAAAGAAAAAAAAGAAATGTTTATTTATTAAGTTACTGGTCCATAGTATTCTGCTCAGAAGCTCAGACAGACTTAGCCAGTGACCCTTAGATTCAGCTTCTTTTCAACCTTGGGTCTAATTTATCAATTATTCTTATTGGCATCACCAGTGCTGTGTGTCCAAAAATCCCACAGCTTTTCATGTCCATGATCGCTATCCCAGTCCAACGATCAATATTACCTCTCATGTGGAGACTTAACTGCCTTTTTCCTAGTTCGTGGCGAATGCATTTTTTTTTGAGACAGCAGTTTGAATGATCCTCTCATACTGATTTTACTTCAAAACCCTTTACTGCTCCCAGTTCGCCCACTGTAAAAGTCCAAAATCTGGAAGGTTCTGAGGGGTCCTTCTCCCACCTCTCCCCACCCCCTTAATTCTCCACCTTGCTTATTCCGCTTCTGCAAATACATTTCCACACAAACGCTTGCATGCTTCTATTCATAACCACTAGGACGTAGAAACAACCCAAATGCACATCAAAGCATGAGTGGATAGGCCAAATGTGGCAAACTCATTTGAAGGGATAATTCTCAGAATGAAGAGGAACGTTGGTATGTGTTGCAGCCTAATGAATTTTGCAAACATCATGCTATGTGAAAGAAGCAGACACAGAGGACCACAGAGTGTCTAACTCCATTTCAGTGAAGGCTCCAAAATGGGTAAACACGTAGCTGATCACTGGTTGCCGAGGGATAAAGTGGGAAGTGACTGCTGATGGGTATAGATTTTCTTGGAAAATGACAGAAATGTTCTAAATTTGATTGTGTTGGTGGCTCCAACTTGAATGTATGAAAAACCACTTAGTTGTATAGGACATGTGAATTATTATAGCCCAATTAAGGTGCTATTAGCAACATATAATGTTGACAAGTGCAAACATATCTGCTCCTTTTCTTTGGAGTGATAAGATTCTAATAGGTAAGATAACAGATGGATTTCAAGTTCATCTTTTTTGCTTTATCTTTTTTTTTCTCTTCCCCATGGCTGATAAAGGACATGGCAGAAGGAATTCCTATAGCACAGGGAGATAGGGTTGTAAGATGACACTCAACATCCTTCTCAATTCTAGGATCTTAAGATTAACCCAGGAACATACTAAACACTGGCTTAACATCCCCAACTGAGAGGGCTCTCCTCGAGGTGACCAGTGGCACGGCTCTGTGATCAAACACACCTCGCAGATCCACCAGGAACTTACCTGATTGTAGTTCTTCAGAGACATGTGGGCTTTCCCCATGTGGAAATATGCTTTTGTGCATTTCTCATCACACTGCATAAAAGAGAACAGCTAATCAGATGAAGATCTGAACGCATTAGTCTCTCCCTTAAGTGCCCGACTAATAGAGCTAAGTCAGAACTTTGGTTCTCAGGATGGTGACTGGGAGTCACCATCAATGACTTTCTAAGCTCTCCAGGTGACAGAAGCGTACCTATTTGAGAGCCACTTGCTTATCAGAAGGAAGAGAAATTGACAAACAGCTGAGGTCACTGATCTATCTTAGTGGGTCTTCAACTTCCTACTCTTAAATGAAGCACAGTATATATACTGGAAACTCACATGCTTATCACTGAAGCTCAGGAGAGATGCTCATGTCCAAAGACAGGATGGGGACCCAGCGGTTGCCACCATGGCCTCCGCACAGGGGTCGGCACCTACCTGCCCTGACTGATGCAACTCCCGAGGGAATGGTTCAGCACAGAGACACAAACCATCATGTAAAACATCTGCAGCATTTCACTCAAGCCCTCTGATACCCCTTTTTGATTTCTGAGCCATGTGAGGCAGTGCTCAGTGCTTCCGTCTGGCTCTTTACACAATGGATCCCTTCTGGCAAAGTTGGGGAGGACCACCTGGGGTGATGGAGATCAAACCTGGGTCAGCTGCATGCAAGGTGAGTGCCCTACTCACTGTAATATCTCTGGCCCCATAACTCCACCCTTTCATGTGCAAGGCCTTGGGCTGGAGCAGATGCCCATCAGGAGTGGGAGTGGGAGCATGAGAGATCTAGACAAAAGCAGGAAAACATCCTGGGGACTCCCCGGCCTGCCACCCCCCATTTCCTGATGCGCATTTTGCGTCCCAGGGAAAGGAAGGTGTTCCAGTAGCTCTCCCAGACTGGGAGGAAATGCAGGTTGAATGGGAATAGCACTGGCGATATCACAGTGGTGGCCGCTGCTGCTGTTACAGAAACGGCACTTCATCTTGAGCCGAAGAGAGCTTTCAAAACTTTATTTAAAAAAAAGCGGAATAGGAACAGCAGAGGAAGTAATAACTGTTATATTTGGAGAGCTCTTTTTATAGATGCCTTTTTGTAAATGTCATTTCCCAATTCGCTGCCCAGGGAACAGCAGCAACAATCTCTAAGATCATGTTCTCATCCTACCACGTGCTGGGCACTGAGCTTGACGGGTGCTGTGAATTGTCTTCTAGAAGCCTCGTGAAGAGGCTTCGACTCTAGGAATAGGTGATGCTCTGCAGTAGGGACAACCTTCCCTCCCCCACTTCATTTTACAGGGCTAGAGATGCTCAAGGTCGCACTGATGCTAAGTGGAAGCAGTAGGCCTCAACATCTGGCCCTTGACTCTAGGTCCCAAAGGCTTAGACATTTAACCCAGCCTCTTGTGGAGAAGCGCTGAGGCAGAGCTAAGGAGAAGGAAATCCACCCCGGGGAGGTGCAGGAGGAAGCCCGGTGCCAATAGACGAGGGTTGTGAGCTGTGCCTGAGTGATGCTAGAAAAGGGAGGCCAGGTGGAGCAAAGCCAAGAGCATGGGGTTTCCTCAGTGGTCAGTGCAGTGCTGGGCTGGGGAGCAGATCAGGCCAAGAGGTTAAGACAGTGACTGGAGCGGCCTGAGAGCCAGGCCAGAGGAGTGAGCCACGGCTATGCAAATTTGGTCTAGAGGAGGCATGCAGAGCTGACCACAGGAGGGAAAGAGAGAAAATGCAAGAGGCTAATCCCTTAAAAGAAGTGGCCCTGGCATCTCAGTGGCAAGCAGGGGCCAGGGAGAAGGTGCAGGTAGCAGAGTTATGTCTCCGAAAGAGCTGGCCAGTGTCTGCAAACTCCACATGGCAACAGAGAAGGAGGGGTCCAAATCTAAAGTGAGGGGGAGGGGCTGGAGTGATAGCAGCAGGGAGGGTGTTTGTTTGCCTTGTATGCAACCGGCCTGGGTTCGATCCCCAGCATCCCATATGGTCCCCCAAGCATCACCAGGAGTGATGATTCCTGAGCACAGAGCCAGGAGTGACCCCTGAGCATTGCTGAGTGTGCTCCCCCCCAAAAAAACAAAAACATAAAAAAATAAATAAAATGAGGGGGAGGGGGGTCACATTCCTGAAGACACCGTGTGTGCAAAATGAGGAGAGAAGGCAGTGGGAAGGTAGAGTGACCAAGAACTTGTTTCCAGACATACAGACTCTGACGTGGCCCAGACAATAAGAGAGAAGCCACGGGAGGCAGCTGAAAAGCAGCGCAGGGGCTGCAGCCCTGGCAGGAGACGAGAGCTTTGATGAAGGAACTGCAGGGAGAAGAAAGGCGAGGAGCAGAGGAGACAAGCCTGCAGAGGGAGAGAGAAGACTCCCGCTCCGCAGATCACGGACATCCAATGTTTACAGAACCTTCTTCCCTGGCAGCTCACGGAGGTCCTGACAGGCAGAAAACAAGATCCATGCCACAGAGCCTGTCCCTGGTCTACTGTGAGTCACCCTGAAGGGGACATGGGTTGCCAATGTCCCCCTCAGACACAGGTGTGAGGGGCTGAAGGATCTTCTCACTCACAGGCCTTTGAGCATGTACCGAACTTCATAAGGACTTTTCTGGGTGAATCGCAGGTCCCCTTAAAAGAAATCCTGCTTTCAAAAGAAGGTGTGTTTTATGGCAGGGGAAGGATTCTGCTAAGGATGAAATGATCCTGATCTTAACTGAAACCAGCTTTACTGCCATCCCTTCCCTGGCACAGAACGCCAGCCCTGAAATTTCATCACATGATCTTGATCCTGTCAATTCAAAAGGATCAAAAATATTACATGGATGCACAGGCATGTATAGAATTAATACTGGAGTGTCACTGATATTCATTATTGATCAGTTACTTTGAAAGGGGGAAGTTTTTTCTTTCAATTCACAGATCTGGGATAGAGCAACTCGTCCAAGTGTTAGAACTCTTGGCACCACCCCCAGATCCCATCCCCATCCCTCCAAGTATCCCCCTCCACACACCTCTTCCACTGGGAGCCTCGAGGGTCATTTTTACAAGGTTGGCTGCTGAGGGTCAGTGCTGTATAACGTCAGCTGTTAGACCTGTTCTGCCTCAGTTTCACCATTAATAATGTATGAAACGTCTGGGGCAAGTTAACCTAAATCAGCAGGAAGGCGTCACTGCTCTTTGGTCCCGGTGGATCAGAAAAGATTCTCAGCAGGAGAGCGTGTTGCTTCCAAGGAAGGCATGCGGTTCACTCTCTGGGGTTAGGCAGCTTAATAACCGCAGCAGCAGCAGTGGGGGCCGATGAAGGACATGGTGAGGAGCGAGAGTTGACAGGTAGACCAGCATCAGAGAGCCCGCACGGCTTACAGAGCTCATGGCTGAGGCTCTCGGTTTCTCAGTCTGAGCAGCAGAGATAAGAGCAGATTGAGTGACATGGCCCAGCACTTGGACACTCACCCTGGACAGCACTTGGGCAGCGGGCGGCACAGAGTGGTTTTGCTGCCATTGTTGGAATAACCAAAGAAAAGCCTCGCTCCTGCCTTCTCTAATGGGACCAAGCAAGGTGACGCCACAGGGGTTGGCACATGTGCCGGGAGCTGCTGTGAGGGACCTGGCATCACCAGCTCAGAGGAGTCCTTAAAACTCAGCTGCACTTGCAAAGATGCAGTGGGACAAGACGTGGCACAAACGGTCTCAGTTAAGGGATAAAGAAACCAAGAACACCCAGATGTCAGTATCAGAGGGCCCCCTGGCATTTTATGAATGATGAGTTAGGGTAGGTTTCTGATTCACCCTGGAGTCCCTTGGCTTATGAATAAAAATCAAGCATGTAGAGGGTGGGGGGTGGGGCACAGAAGTGGAGGGCATGTTCTGCATGGAGATGGTCCTAGACTGAATTCCCCTCCCCACCCCAGTACTACCACCAAAGGGAAAAAATAAAACCAACCAACAACAACCAAATGTTCAAAGATAAGCAGGTATGGCTCATGGCTGGCTGTCAGTACACACGCTCCATGCTCAGTATCCACTAGTCTGGGGGAGGTGCGTGGTATGACCTAATCTAAGCTGCAACATATTCCTGGCACTTTCTCCTGACACCTCAATATTACTGGACTGTAAGTTAGCCCAAATCAAGTTTATGTTAGGACGCTAGTTTCACGATGGATAATGGAAACCTTCCAGAGAGAAACACACACCCAAGGAAAGACGTTTCACACTTCCTAGGTCTAGACTCTCCAGAGCCTCATGCTTATTTCCCTCTGTGGCTGTTGGCACTTCCACCAGAAGCCTGAGAAGTGCTTGGCTGGGTGATCGGATGATTTAGATAAATCCCCAACAGCAAGAGTAACATGCGGGGAATAAGGATGAAGGGCTAGTAAAACTTTTCGTCTGAAATCATGTCCCTACAAAGCGATCATGGCCACTTCTCCTTTGAAAATTTGTTGTTATTTTTTGTCATACCTGGCAATGCTCAGGGGTTACTCCTGGCTCTGCACTCAGGAATTACTCCTGGCAGTGCTTGGGGGATGATATGGGATGCCGGGGATCGAACCCATATTGGCTGCATGTAAGACAAGAGCCTCCACAGCATGCTAGCTCTCTGGCCCCGAACAACTTTTTTTTTAATATTTCCATCAACAATATTTTGTCTCCCTTGGGGACTCTGTCTTGGAGGAAAGGCCACATGTGTGCCAACACTGCCTGCCCGAGGCCTGATCAGGGTCCTGGCAAAACAGCAAGAATTCTCTCTTCTGATCATTCCTTGGAGCTGGAGCACAACAGGTACGGTGTTTGCCTTACACGTGGCTGACCCAGGCTAAATTCCTCCAAACTTCTCGGAGAGCCTGGCAAGCTACCGAGAGTATCCCGCCCACACAGCAGAGCTTGGCAAGCTCCCTGTGGCATATTCAATATGCCAAAAACTGTAACAAGAAGTCTCTCAATGGAGATGTTACTGGTGCCCACTTGAGCAAATCAATGAACAACAGGAGGGCAGTGCTACAGGACAGTGCTACAGTGATCATTCCTTGACCCATTGGAGCTGCTAGGGCACATCTGCTGGTTATTGGAGTTGGAGAGGGAGCCCAAACTGACGATGAAGAACGACCCCACAACAGCCCCAGGCGCTGAGGGCTGGCTCCGAGAGTGGGGGCCTTCTCACTCTCCTGTGGAGCAAAGCTTCTGGTAACACAGAAGCAGAGGAGCAGTTGTGGCATCCCGGCCCTGAGGAACCATAACGCCAGCATCCTCCCCCTCCCGAGTCTTGATGAAGCTTGGCCCTTGGTCATCACCGGATCTCGTGGCCACACCTGAGGGTAGAGTGGCGGTCCTTGCCCTTCTCCCTCTCCCGACGCCCCCTATTCTGTTCATGCCCCTCCAACCCATGCTCATAGCCCAGCCCAGCCAGGCCCGCCTCAAGTGCGAGAGGAAGTGGCTTACCTTCAGAGCCCAGTCACAGTCCGTGACTGCCTTCTCGTAGTCCCCAAGCTTGATGTAAGCCTGCCAAGACACAGAGAGCAGCTGGTCACAGTGGAGTTGGTGGCAGGCAGCTCCCCAATCAGTCCGGGAAGTGCAGCTAAGCAGCCCCGAAGGGGATAAGGATAGGTCTGTAGGAGTCCCAGCAGGAAACACACCCCACTGGGTCACTCAGCAGAGTTTCCTAATTGGAGGGGGGCGGTTGGAGAGGAAGGTTAGGGCTAAGGAAACCCTGAGAGATGCCAAGGACCCTGAGTGCTGGAACACGGATGGGTGGTCTTCATTGCTGCTAGAACCAAAGAGGTAGGAAACCATGAATGAAATGGAAGACGACTATTTTGAAGGCTGGAGCTGAGTCCCACAGCAGAGCCAAGGCCCCGAGAATCACTGCCTTGCCCTCCCCATCCTCCTTCCTTTTGCTCTCACTGGCTGAACCCCAACAGAAGCTAGAAAGCTGAGAGGCCAGTTCCCCAGGGCCCACCGAAGGACACAAGAGGCAAAACTTAAGAACCCCACACACGAATATCCTCTTCGAAGGGAGAACAGTCGTCTAGAGTCTGCTCCCCTGTATGTTTCTGAAAGTAACCAGATCACAGAGGGAATTCAATACTAATGATGATGATGATGATGATGATGACGACGACGACGACAAGGTCTTGGCGAGAATGTCAAAAAAAAAAAAAAGAAAGAAAAAGGAAGGTTCCTAGACAGCTGGTGGGAATATAGAGTGATGTGGTGACTCTGAAAGGTGGTCTAGTTAGTGAACGCCTGGCCTGGCGACTCTACTCCTGGGGGCTGGAGCAGTGGCTCAGGGGGCTGGGGCACGTGCTTTGCCTTTGGGAGGCCCAACTTCTACCCCGGGACCATATGGTGAATCAAGAATCTTTAGAAGTGACCCAAGAGCACAGAGCTTGGAGTTACCCTGAGTGCTGGGCATGGCCTCCAAATAAACAATACAAAACCCCAACAAATTCCACTCTTGGCAATATCAAGGACTGTAAGTTAGACTACACAAGCTTGGGGACTATGAGAAGGCAGTCACGGACTGTGACTGGGCTCTGAAGGTAAGCCACTTCCTCTCGCACTTGAGGCGGGCCTTGCTGGGCTGGGCTATGAGCATGGGTTGGAGTGGGCAACAGTTGGCTAATGGCATTTTTGCAGGGCAGCTCATTGCTCTGATGGAGGGACAGGGTGACACACACACGAGGGGGTTGAGAGTTCAGCAGCGGTACGGACTGGACCACAACACTTGGTGCTGACTCCTCTCTAAAGCGCCTCCTTCCCTCTAGGGTCTGTGGTTCTGTTTGAAAGCCAGAGGATGTGATGAAGAAGCCAACCTCCAACTGAAACTATGATTATATGACATTGTCATTCTGGACACACGCAGACTCTGAAGCCAATATGGGCATCGATGGCTTCTCTACACAGCCTTCTCTTTTTTTTCTTTTTTTTTTTCTTGAAGACTTGGATGCAACACCCTATCACGTCCCTGTTTGCTTTTGCTTTGCCACATTTTTAAAAAGAACGACTTTTTCCAAATGGCAATTAAACTGCTGGTTTATCTAAATTACACCGGCAATCTATTGATCATAACATTAGCTCCAGGAGAAAAAACAAAGTGATGAAAAGGGTAGGTTTTCTCTCTTGCAAGCAGCAACACGCAATTCACAGGGCCCTTATTAAGTGTTTCCTAACACTGCATGCAAACAGGGGAGGCATTTTAAAAATAGTCAGTGGTTCAAATGATTTGTAGCACTAGGCTACAAATACAAAAAAAAAATCACGTTTTACATTGCTTTGTCTCTGAATAAACCTTCTCTTTGGGAAAGCTGGGAGCTAGTCCCCCCCTCCCCCTCAGAGCTTTTCACTTTATTTTCTTATTTTAATTCATAGCCATTCTTAACATGATTTTCTAGAACTAATCAAAGGGCTGTTTAAACTCTGGCAAAGTAAAAAGTAACTTATTTAGATGAAGCAGAGGATAGACCAGCTGTAGTCTATATAGGTATAAGTCTGAGTTACATAACATTTTAGAAGCAATTTCATTTTACTGCTTTCAAGTAGCTTCTGAGTTACAAGGCTGAACCAGCTCTAATAGATGGTTATTTGTAGGTACAAACCTGGTGATAAATCAAAAGGGACAATATTATATTAATCGCCTTCATTTCAATGTTTCTTCTGGAGTATCAATAGAAACTTAATTCCCATTTAAATGGGCTTATTGTGACTCCCAGGTTATGTAACTTGACAGGGAGTTATTGAACATCTGCTATAAATAAGGCAGTATGGGGAAAAGTGTGACAAGTTTTGCCCTCCGAAAGTTTATAATCTTGGTAGGATGGAAAGAACTGCCCTATTAAATCAACTTCCAGTCATCTAATCCACTAAATCACTGCCACAGAACAATTTTTCTCACAAATGGGGTGAGGTGAGTGACACCTCAACTCTAGTCCAACTGATCTGAACTGCCGAATTAATGAGGGGAGGTAGTGCTTGGATTTATTCATCATTATTTCACCAGATTTTCAGGGCTCCTCATGCCCTGGCTTCTCGCTTTCAACACTCTTCCACAACAGAGCCCAGCAGGACATTCTTAACCTTGAATTACCAAAACTGGAGCTGATGAAGTTCTGTTGGACCGTCTCCACTTGGGAAATGATGCCGCATTAAATTCATCTCCCACTGGCCCTGCTGACACATGCTCACTGCTGGCTGGTCACTCTCTGTACCTGCCCATCTTCTAGACCTCAGAAAGGGGCACTTCTCAAAGATCAGGTCACAGGTGATTTTTGTTGTTGATGGGAACCATCAGCCTTATCCCTTCATGAAGAGGTACATAACAAACCTGAGGGATCGGTTTTACCCGAGTTCCAAGTAAAGAAAGCTGTTTTCTGTTGTCTACTTCTAGCCTGAGGGACTTCAGGGATCAAAATTTCTGAAAAATTCGCTTAAGCCCATCAGTTATTCACTCGATCTCAGCCACAGAACCTTAAATAAAGGGTCTTGGCAAAGAGAGTTGGTGACTTACCAGAGAGTACCCTTAGGCCTTCAGGCGACCACCAGAAAAGCAGGCTGGAAAGGAAAAAGCATTGCTTCCAGTCTCCTGGTTTCATAGCAATTCAGGAGAACCTTTAGCTATGTGGAAAAGTTCCTGGTCACAAGGGGCGATGTGCCGGAGCTGATTTTCACCAGAGAGAGAACTGCCCTGTGGAGAGCTTCCGCAGGCCTCTGTCAGTGATCTCAATGTGGTAGCCTGACACCGGGCTATAGCAGGAATATTTATACCAGGGGAATGGGCAACTACTCCCCCACCTTAGGTGTTAAATAATTACCAGAGAATAATTCTGGCTTCCTCCAGCTTCCTCCAGGCTGCGGCTACTGATCCCTGCGTAAACCCCACCACATGCTCTGAGCTTACAGACCTGGGCTCGGTTGGTGTACAGCACTTTCATGTCCTTCAGCTTCTCCAGACCCTCACTGTAACACTGGATGGCTGCTTTATAATCGCCTTTGACAAATGCTTCATTCCCCTTCTCTTTCAGGGCTAGGAAAACAGAAGTCGTAGAGGTGAGCTCAAGCTCTCCCCGCACAAAATAGAAAATTCTTTCAGACTTTCACTTTCTGGTTTTCTAACCCTCCCCAGCTGGAAGTTCAAGGCTTCCAAAGTGACTCAAAGGGGGCCCTGACACTGGTTCCTCAGTGCAGGTATCTGAGGAGTGGTTGATTTGAGAATTCTCCCCTCTCCCCCACCCCCCTACTCCCTCAGCCCACTGAATCTACCAAACGCTGTTAGGTGGTTTCTCAGAAAAACAAATGTTTCTGCCTCAAGGCTTTGAGACACTCCAAATTAATCACAAAGCCGAAGTTCACACACTAAGTGCTTCAGAGAGCACCAAACCACTAGTTTTCTAATACATTCAGAATCACTGAGACCCACGAAAGGCGTGTCACTGGGTGGTGTCACACCAGCACGGAGAGCTTCTCCTACCTGTCTCTCTCCCCTCCCACAGATGCAAGCTGTTTTCCTTCCCTTTACTTCTCCTTTCCCTTCACACAGCTTGATGTTGTGGTTTCGGCTTCTTGTTCAGTCTTCACCTGTGCCTTGGGCTGCCCAGTGGTCACTCACTGCCATCCCTCTCTGCTTTCCAAGCATGATTTAGAACTGCTCAATGGATTCACCAAAGCCATTCATGTACTGTAGAAAGGGGCTGGGCTGTGGGAGCTGGCAGAGAGTATAGCCCACTCCCTGCTGCCCGTAGGAACAGACACAGGCCTGAGTGGGTCAGGTTTGGTTAGCTCCCAAGGCTTCAGGCCCATAGGAACCTGCCCATGGGGAATCCTGATGTCCTCAACCTTTTGGCACGCGGGCTCAGGTGCTCTTTATAAGACAAATCATCACCCGAGATCGAAAAGTGAAGACTGACAATTACCGTCTGCAAGGACTTTGTTTTCCTGTCTTCTCTTGGCACGGAACTTTGCATCCTTCTCTATAGACGCCAAGAAGCCCTCTGACAGCAGAGTCATTTCAAATATTAAAAAAGACAAATCCAAATACTATAATCAGTTCTTTAGCTCCAACTCAGAAGCAAGCTACTTGAGAGCTGTAAAGTCACATTTCTCATGCATACACATGCAGACAGGCGTGCGTGCGTGCGTGTGTGCACTTACACACACACACACACACACACACACACACACACATACACACACACATTCCGAGTCAACTAAAATGACATTTTCTTAATTTGACATTAAATGGTAATCTATGTGATGTATTATTATACATGATGGCTATGTCTGCGCTTCAAAACTGAATTATGCCTTTTTAAAAGAGTTTCTCTTTGATGATAGACATTTTTTGTTCCATTTAGCATAATGAGCTTCTGAGCTGAGCAAAAGGGAAACTCTGGATCCCTTGAGATAAGAAGAGTAAATTGGATGATACTGAACTCAGTGGAATATCGCCCACGACCAAATAGAATAGAGTTTCTGAGCCCTATTCCTCTCTGACCAACAAGTCACAGAACTGAGCGATCTAGATCAGGTTCCAGATCAGGAGCTGTATTTTTATTGGTTTTTGGTTTTGAGGTCACACCTTGTGCTGTTCAGGGCTGACTCCTGCTCTGCACCTGGGAATCACTCATGGCGGTTCTCAGGGGAACATATGGGATGTTTGGGATAGAACCTGTCTTGGCCACGTGTAAGGCAGCCTGACCCACTGTCCTATCTCTCCAGTTTTTGTTTCAGAGCTACTTGGAAACTCAGAAGATGTAATTTCAGTTACCGTCAATAAACAGTTATCTTAAATAAATATCACACAGTAGGAGGAGAGATGGGGTCCTTACCTGGACTCATGTCATCTGTGTTCTGTAAAACATAGGTTAGAAAAAGAAAACATCAAAAATCACTCTGATTAATATAGAGACAAACGGGATAGACGAATCCCAAGTGGGGAACCAGCTCACTTCCTTTAGCCACCAGTACTTGAAGGGGCATGCTTCTGGGTTTTTTGGTTTTGCTTCATTTTTATAAACCAGAATTCTGATTATGTGCCCTACTGGTAAAAGGTTAAATCTGCAGAAAAGAATGAGCAGGCCAGCAGCACCTTTGCCTGTGCTTTTGAAGTTGGCAACAGGAGTTAGCAGCCTGCATTCCCTTAACGGTACAGCTGAGTTTTCATCAGGGACTCAAGAGGTAAAAGTTGGGCTAGAGCAATAGCACAGTAGGTAGGACATTCGCCTTGCACACAGCCGACCCGGGTTCATATGGTTTCCTGAGCACCCGCCAGGGGTAATTCCTGAGTGCATGAGCCAGGTTAGGGGAATGAGATCCATTTATTACGTGGACGCCCACCTACAAGATGGTCAGACTTCTTTGTCAAGACCCTGAATGATCGGTTTGAGGCTCTGCATGTTCCTAGAATGAACAGATACCATTGGGCTACGCTAGCACGCAACCGGGATGAATGGAGACGTTACTGGCACCCGCTTGAGTAAATTGATGAATAACGGGGATTAAGTGATTAAGTGATGAGCCAGGTATCACGGGGTGTGACCCAAAAAGCACTATAGCACTGTCCTCCCGTTGTTCATCGATTTGCTCGAGCGGGCACCAGTAATGTCTCACAACAAATTGTAAGACTTGTTTCTACTGTTTTTGGCATATCGAATATGTCAAGAAAAGCAAAAAAAAAAAAAAAGTAAAAGTTTCATTAGAATCCACCTGAGGGATTATTTAAAGTTGACCCAGAGAGAGACCAAGAAATAAAAAGTTGAGTTGACACTTCTTTGTGGAAGGTAAGTCTAGTGAATGAATCTAAGATATGAAAGACTGCTTCTGCCTCACCAGACACTCTGAGATTAACTAGCTCCTCTGCCTCCCCCCAGACCTCACTTGCTGTGTCTACTTATGTAAGTCTGAGGTGGGAAAACGCAACCTCAGTTGGAGCTTGTGCGGGGCTAATCATGGTCTTGTTCACGATGGTCCTACATCCATCCTCCTCTGGGACCTCCTCTGCAAACCGTAGTCTCTTTTCTGTCTCCTGGATGGCCTTCTGTTGTATAATCGGGTTTTCAGAGTTCATCTCCTGGATTAAATTTGCTAGAGAAGAAATCAAACATGAATGATTGAAGTAAGGTCTCCGGAAGGAAAGACTCCATTCACAAGGAAGGATTAGGAAATTCATGGGGAAGAACTTTCTTTCTTTTTTTTTTTTTTTTGCAAACTTTATTTTTTATTTTGGTTTTGGGGCCACATCAGATACTGCTCAGGGCTTACTCCTGGCTCTGCACTCAGGGATCACTTCTGGCGGGCTCGGGGACCGTAATGGGGTGCTAGGGATGGAACCTGGATCAGCCATGTGCAAGGCAAGTGCCCTACTCACTGTACTATATCAATCTAGCTCCCTTTTTTGGCTAACTTTATGGAGGCAGAACTGCTGTTCAACATTGTGTAAGTTTGTGTACCACGATGATCCTGCTTATGTATATTGCAAAATGATGTCATATAAATTAGGGCTTATAGTTGCAATCTTTTTCTTTTCATGGTGAGGACATGGAAGATCTACCCTTAGCAACTTTCAAGTATAAACATCAGTGTTGCTCATTATAATCCCCATACTGTTTATGAGGCCCTCAGAATGTATTCATTACTAGACATTTGACCCTTTGACCAACATCTCCCCATGGGGTTTAGAACTGAAAGTGAAAATTGGAGCAATTAGAATAAATGAGGGGGGGAAGGAAAATAAGAACAGGATTTGTTTTGCTTGGCAAAATCTGTAAAAGCTAACTTGAGGCTTTCCAGGAATAAAATTCTAGGCCATTATTTACTTCAAAATATCTTCTGGCAAGCTCATTATGACTTAGAGGGCATCCAGATGACCGTGCTGAAATTAGGAAGCTCCCTGAATACAGATGCTCCTTTTGGGTCAGGGGGAGACATCATTATAAAGACACAACTGACTCAGTTGCCAGTCACTGGGGATTAAGCTTCATCCCTCTCCATTTCCCAGAGGATAGAACTGAAAGTTTCAGTCCTCTAACCAAACCTTTGGTTGTTTCCCCTAGCAACCAGGCCCTGTTCTTGGGTTCCAAAAGTCACTCGTGAACTTAGGTGTTTCTATTGATATTATCATTTAAGACATTTCTAAGATTTTTAGGAGCTCTGTACCAGAACCTGGGACAAAAAGCAAATATATCATTGTTATAAATTACTGTATCACACACGTAGGCTAATCAACCTCCTATCTTTCCAAAGATTTCTAAAAACGGTCCCCACGGGCCCGGAGTGATAGTACAGCGGGTAGGGCGTCTGCCTTGCATATGGCCAACCCGGGTTCGATCCCTGGCATCCCATATGGTCCCCCAAGCACCGCCAGGAGTAATTCCTGAGTGCAGAGCCAGGAGTAACCCTTGAGCTTCACTCGGTGTGGCCCAAAAAGGCAAAAAACAAAACACAACACAACAAAACAAAAAACAAAAACTAAAAACGGACTCTAATCTAAACCATCTCAACTTGATAATCTTGCTTTTCAGTGCACAGAAGAAAGACAGAATCAGAAGGAACTCCTTTAACTTACTGCTATTAAAATCACAAATTGCCTATATCTACATTACTCTGTCCTTCCCCCTAAAGGAAGAGGTGTACCTCTTAATGGTATATCCACCTAGGTATCCTATGAATGTCGTCATAGGGATGTGATACTGGAGGGTACTATCATCTTATTGTACATAATCAGGATCCAGGTGTCACTGGTTAATTATCTTTTTTAAACAATCTTTTCGATCCCTCTCATTCTACCATTTTCTTCCTAGTCTACCAGTAGCTTAACAAAGATAGACTCTGGATATTTCCCAGTGAACTATCTTTTCCTCTTCACAACCAAACTCCTTGACATTTTCCTGTTCCTATTTATTTCCCAGTGCATTTTCAAAAACAATCGTTTTCACATATTTCAGTTGTCAAACATTTCCAACATATAGAAAGGAACATAGCATTTTGTGGGTTTTTATACCAGCTGTGCAGATCTATGCCATTTGCCTATATCCATTTTCTTCCTTCCTTCAGCACATTTCTGTCCTTAGTATTTGTATGCACTGGCTTTTGCTGAACAACACAGCAACCCAAAACTTAGTGGCTTAAAACAAATACTAGTTATTTAGCTTCATCTAGTTCAAAACTTTCTGGGTTAGAAGCGCGGGTTGTGTTTCACTGATCAGTTCTCTGGGCTCCCAGGCCTGCTTAGGGTCTACTGTGAATCTGCTTCTGAGGTTGGCTACTGGCTGAGTACAGGAAGAACTAGGGGAGTGAGTCACATCTTCCAGAAGAGTTTCCAAAAGATGGACTGTGCTTCAAGACCCAATGTGCACGCGCTTTTCAAGTTTACAAACATCCTTTCGGCCAAAGCAAGTCTATATAGTTAGTTCACATTCAAGGGACAGAGAAGCAGACTCCACTTTTAATGAGAAGAAAGAAACTTGTGAGGAATCCTGTGTATGTGTATTTAAATTTATTAAGTAGCCTTATAAAGCATTCTTTCTTTTGCACCTCCCTCCCCACTTTTTTTTTCTGGAATGTGCGTTACAGATATGTTCTAGATATAGATAGTTTCAGTTGATTCCCATTAATCACTGTATGTCCCTTATTGAAGGATGTCTACAGTTTAAAAGTGTTGGTGCAGCAAATAAATTCTGAATAAGTATCTGTGTACATATTTCCTTGGACAAGCCTGGGACTCCCCAGATTTGCCCAGTGTTTATCTGGATCTGGCTTTTTACCTGTATTCCTTAAATAAACTGGTAAATGGACTTTCAAGGAAATTAAAGAAATTCAAGGAAAAGGTCAAGGGAACCTCCAATTTATGGCCAAACCAGACAGAAGTTGTGTGTTATCTGTAAACCTACAATTATAATTAGCATCTGAGGAGGGCTGGGGCAGTCTGTGGACTGGGCCTTTAATTGGTGGGATCTGATACTATCTCTAGCATCAAAATTGGTCAAACTGTAGGATACCCACCTCTGACTATCTTCATAGACTATTTTATGCATAAACTTGACCTGTTCATCATCTCTTCCCCAAGCCTGTTTCTTTTCAAATAGCCCCAATCTCAGCAGCATATATTAGCCACCCACCTATTTGACCCAATACCCTCAGAAATATGTTATTAAAAATAAGATTTTATTACCGTAACATGGACTTAAACATTATATAAGCTCCGGGAAATATCAGGCCTTCTTCTTGAGATGTCGAAAACTCATAAACAACTCTCCAATCTGTCTACCTGTTTCTACTCCCACTGTGGTAGATGTCTCCCTGGGAGACTGTCTGTGCCTCTGGCCGATCTCCCGGCATCTGCTTCCCCCCCCCCCCCCCCCCCATCGATATCCCACAGCACAGCCTGAACAACTTTCCTTCAGGCAGTGTGGTTTAACCTGGGTACGGGCATGGGCCCAGCTGCAAGCTGTTCTTCTCAGGAGTAATTTGGCTGCGTTCCTGCCGTAGACAAGCCTTTCACAAGAGTCCCACTGTGCCCTATCGTGTCTGAAGGTTTGGACTTTCTGGACTCATAGGAAAGCCTCCCGTCCTTGATCTCATCTCTCCGTTCAGAGTTTCTTGAGAGCACTTGAAGCTTTCCTAACGACGTCCTTCCCACTCTGAGTACTCCCTCGGCCCTCTCCACAACAGCCAACTCCTACTTGGGCCTCTAAGTCTGGCTGTTTACCTCTCACTTCTTCACGAAAGCTTGACTTGACTCCTGTCTGGGGTGTTCCTCCCGCATTCAAATACTGAAGCTCAAAGCTACCTACAATACGGCTGGATTTGGAGACTGGCCTTCAAAGAGGCTAGAGGGGGTCACCGGGTGGGTCCAGTATCCCAAGGAGATGAGGGAGGGGCACCAGGCATGTGCCCACAGAAGTAAGGCCATGGGAGGCACGGGGAGAAGGCTGCTGTCTGCAAACCCAAGAGTTTGCATGCTCCAGAGACGGCTCAACCCCCCCCACCCCCCCAGGGCTCTGAGAACCAACTTCTGCTGCTGAAGTCACCCAACTTAGCATTCTGTAGCCCAGATGGATTAATCCGATTCCCTACTCTGAATTTTGCAAAGCTCTCACTGGAGCCCAAACCACACAATGACTGGCTTAGCAACTGTTTTTCTCCCCTGGACTATAACTATCATGAAGGCAACTCTTTATGATGACGGCATTCCCAGTAGCCTCGAGATGCTCAGCGTACAGTATTAATCTATGAGCTGACACAGAGGCTGAAGTGCATAGAGAGCAAATACAAGGAGAAAGTGAATTCCTTGGTGACACTCCCCACCTTTCAAGTGGCCGATGGACAAGGGGATTACTGGTTACCATGAGTGGACAGTGTAGATAACAAACATTTCCATCACTGGAAGTTTCGCCGGGCTTAATGAGAACCTGTATTAAGTCTGAGTATGAATGAAAGTGAGCCAGGAAGATGGGGCGGCAGAGGGATGAAGAGGCCACAGGGTCGGCACTGTCGGGGTCTTGCGGAACTGGCAAACAGTTGGCCCCAGGGCTGCTGAGGGAGGGAGAGCGGGAGGTCAGCCAAGGTCATCGGAGGTCTGAGGTCTTGATGAGAGCTTGAGATTTATTGTGACTAGGGAGAGAATCCAAGCAGAGAAGTGTCTGGGTCAGATTTGCATTTTAGATACATTACTCGGTGGGGAGTGTGAGCTGGAGGCAAGAAAAACAATCAGGGGTTATTGAAACAGTCTGGGCTACTCAGCACAAAGGGAGCTTCCAGAGGCTGGGGCCAGGGAAAAGCTAAACGAGAGGGATGACTGAATGCAGGGCTGGGATCCAGGAGGACACCAGTGCGATTTGGAAGGTTCTGGAGGGTGGTGCCACCAACAAAGACCAGAATGGTGGGAGAAAGTAGAAGGAGGATTTACTGGGAAGGAAAGAGACAGAGGGAAAAGATGGCTAGCTTCATTCTGGATATATTAAGCTTAGGAGTATTTGTGAAGTACAGTGGTTATGAGGGTTGGCACAGAGGCCCAGACAGAAGACTGGGTAGCAATTTTCACGTGGAGCCACTAGCAAACAGGTGGAAGTTAAAACCATGGGTTTGGACTAAATCACCAGGAAAGATGAGATCAGAAGTATTTCAGGATGGAGAACAGAAAGGGCCACGATAAAGGCCAAGAACAAACTCTGGATGTATCAGTTATGAATTTGATCAACTGATTTTGATGCCATCTTATTCCTAAAACTCCATATAGTACCTTGGAAGGAGCAATTCCAATGGATTTCTGTTAGACAAGGTTTGTTCACTGTTTGCTTGTGTCTACCCCAGGATGATCCCTGAAATGTGAACTGAAATGACTGTGTGGGTCATCCTGAGCATCACAGTGGAACAGAGTATGTTCTCAAACCCCTGCCTTGAGCTGGTGAAGGGGCCTTCTTGTCTGGAGGGAGAGAGACAGAACTCTGAGTCATCCATGTGGCGTGAAGAGTCCAGAGGGAAAGTCATTTGATTTCATGTATGCACCCCCAAACCTTTACCCCTCAAAAGGGGCCAGAAAGACAGGACAGGACAGGGGGTTGGGCACTTGCCTTGCATGTGACTAACCCTGGTTCAATCCCTGGCACCACATATGGTCTGCTAAGCAATGCCAGGAATGATCCCCGAGCAGAGCTGGGAGTAGATCCTGAGCATCACCGGGTATGGCCCCCAAACAAAACAAAAGGTCGGTATGTCACTACTCTAAAACCAGAGGGATCCCGACTGATCAGGGGATTCGAAATGCTATCCTTGAAGGAAACGGTTAGACTTATTGGTGAGAGAGAAATAAAGCTCCATTGACCTGATTCTATATGAAAGAGAATAAAATTTATAGTAGTAGCGTTGTCAGCCTTGACACCAACAGAATGTTAACAGCATCTCTGATACCAATTAACAGTCAGAAAATACTACCTGCCGGCTTGAATATAATGCGCTTCTCAGTACCCTTTCGGCTTAATTTCAATTACATTTTTCCTTAAGAGTCATAAAGCTGTCAGGCAACCCTGGAATGAACTTAGAGTAATCATTTCTCCTTAATCACCCCACCTCTCTAAAGGAGAGCTTAATTTGTTTATGATTTAATGGCACTTACTGATTTCATCCACATTTTTAAGAAATTTCTGTAAATCTTTCTCCTGATCGTCAGCCATTCTGAACCAGAATACCTAAGGGAAGCAGTACAGATTATGAAAATTAATCATAACACGATACAGAATTTGTCAGCCTTATTAGCCTTCTGAAAAGAAGAGCCAAGGAAAGGTTCTTGAGACAGATTTGTTTATAAACGCCATGAAGAACAGCGGGGTGATCTATTTCGCTCCAACTGCTGTTAAGGTCAGGGGATACTCATTATTTGTGGAGATACTTCTGGAAAGCTGCCAGCCAGCCCACCACAGGGGAAATGGCTCTGCCAAAGGTTTCTCCAAAGCTCACATCAGCTGCTGTGATCTGGGGCCCGGACTGCAGGGGACGAGAAGAGCGGCTTCTAGGGTTGGAGGATGCTAGCACTTAACTTGGATCATGCAGGGTACCCCACCGGAAGCTGGGACCTGGCTGGGTGACAGGTAACCAGTGGCCAAACAATCTGCATCTGATTGCTGAAACTTGCTCAAACAGATAAGCCTCTGGCTTATTTCAGAGGAGTGGAGAGAAGCTGCAAATTGGCTGAAGGGATTAGAACTTAAGGCACCCGAGCCCCAAAGGATCCTGGATCCAGGTTCTTTAGCTGTGTTGCCTCTCAGTTGATTTTCGTGTGTGTGTGTTTAAAATAAAACAATTTTAGGTACTGTAACTTACAATACTGATAACAGCAGGGTTTCTGCAGGAAACATTCCAACACCACACACCCCACCAGTGTCAGCTTGCCTCTAGCACTGTCACTAACCACTCCCCCCAACACACACACACACACACACACACACATTAATATGCTTCTCATTAAAGGCAGGTTCTCCATTTCTGTTGCCTCTGAGAATTTGTTGTGGAGAGAAAAAGCCACATAGTATACGCTCTGGTTCCAACCCTAAAAGTGAGGGGAGCCAGGGACTGAGAGATGGAACAGCCAGTAAGGTGCTGACCTGCCTTGGATCCCCCACACCGCATGTGCCCCAGCACTGCCAGGAGCAAGCCCTGAGCTTAGCCGGGTATGGCCCCCAAACCAAAATACAAAATATTGACACAGATGAAAGCAACGATGGGGGTTTGTCCAATCCCGTGGGTAGTCTCCAGCTTGGGCGCTGGGAGAGTGTGTGTGTGTGTGGGGGGGGGGGGGGGTAGTTCTCAGCAGGAAAGGGACGGTTCGAAACCCTCCCCAAGGCGATTCTGATTGGCAGCCAGTTGGGCAGTGGTCAGGGAATGCACCTTGGACCAGCTACTCAAGCCACAACTCCGCTGAGCCTCAGAAACCCCAAGGGCTATCCCGGGGCACGCAATGAGTGGCCCACTCTCGTCTATAAGACACTCTCATTTTTGAGACAGCCGGTGGGGCGGTGGAGCTTCAGGGAAATTGGTTGTGAAGGTTCTCTGGGGGCTGTGCTAGCACGCAACTGAGGCCCCAGGGGAGCGAGCTGGCTTGTCCGCGAGGAGCGAGGACAAGAAACCAGGCTCCAGTTTTCGTCGGAGATCAACCGCTCCTCTGCTTGCAAAGCACACCGATCTAAGGGCGCAGGGACCCCAGGGCAGGGCGAATGGAACAGAGCAGGGTGAAGGGTCTGCAGCGAGTGCCAGCGCGAGGGCACCTGCGACAAGCCCGGCGCCCCGCCCTCCAAGCACGCTCTGCCCGACCCGGAGCGGAGGCGGAGCCAATGGGATGGGGCGGGGCCAGCGGGGGTGGGGCGGGGCTATAGGGGGTGGGACCAAGGGGCGGGGCGGGGCCAGGGGTGGGGCCAACTGGGCCAACAGCAGGGTTGCCTGGCAACTATGCCACGGCGTCTACCGGCTCCCTTGCCCGCCCTGGAGGTCTCAACAGCCGCCGATACAGGCCCATCTGCTAGCACCCAAATCAACGCGCTCTTTTCCGCTCGGACAGCCAGACCAGGCCTATGCCCCAGGGGAGATCTCCAGCCACCCGACAGCACTGACCTGACGCTCCCGGGGTCGGAGGAGAAATGGCGGCCTCCAGGGGGCGGAGACAACCCAGGCGGGGGCGGGGCGGGGCGGGGCCGGGGCCGGAGGTGGGCGTGGCCCCGCGCTGAGCTCTTGCTCCGGCTCCCGCTCCCCGGCGCAGCTCGGTTCCCAGCTGGGGTGGCCCAAGCCGCGTCTGACCCTCAGCAGTTCTCGGCTGCTAAATCCGAGGCAGATCCCTGAAACAGAGGCAGGTTTTGTGCTTATCTTTCGCGGAAGGGGGCTGCCTCTCTCTTCCAACTACTTCCAACTACTTCTGACCTCCAGTCGGCAAAGTCTCCCGTGGACTTGGGAGATGTAAAATGGAATGATGGCATTTTCTTCTATAAAGTTTATATTAAGGCACCTAGTCAGTAAGGAAAAAGTAGTAATTATGTCCAGGGAACCATAATAGAATTGGGAGCCGGATGAGACAGAAGGTACATTGACACTTTTTAAGACATCCCAGGCCAGGGGCTGGAGCAATAGTACAGTGGGTAGGGCGTTTGCCTTGCACGCGGCTGACCAGGGTTCGATTCCCAGCATCTCATATGTTTCCCTGAGCACCGCCAGGAGTAATTCTGAGTGCATGAGCCAGGTGTGCATTGTGCATTGCCTTGTGCATTGCCAGGTGTGATCCAAAAAGCAAGAAAAAAAAAAAAAGACATTCCAGGTCACTTGTGACGGCTTTTTTTTTTTTTTTTTTTGGTTTTTGGGTCACACCCGGCAACGCTCAGGCTCTCACTCAGGAATTACTCCTGGCGGTGCTTGGGGGACCATATGGGATGCTGGGAATCGAACCCAGGTCGGACGCGTGCAAGGCAAACGCCCTACCCGCTGTGCTATTGCTCCAGCCCCACTTGTGACGGCTTTAAAAAAAAAAGTTCAGTCTATTAGGTGCCAGGTGTAAACGTGGGGAGGGGAGAGATTTGAGCTGAAGAGAGTAATGTAAGTAAAGGCCCTCCCGTTGATCATCGATTTGCTCGAGCGGGCCCAGTAACGTCTCCATTGGAGACTTTGTTGTTACTGTGTTTGGCATATCGAATACAGGCTCTGCCGCGGGGGGGCAGATACTCTGCCGCGGGGGGGCAGATACTCTCCGTAGCTTGCCGGGCTCTCCGAGAGGGGCGGAGGAATCGAACTCGGGTCGGCCATGTTGGCCAATTGTAAGGCGAACGCCCTACCGCTGTGCTATCGCTGAGCTTAAGAGAATACTCAGAAATATTTGGGTTTTGGAGCAAGTTTGTAGCTACTTTTATACCAATTTTTCTCAACCTTTCCTTAACCATCGCTCCCTTTTCATCTTGGTTTTGAGTCTTTTCCGTTCAGGTTTGACTTTTGTTGCTTTTTGGCTGGAGTATTTTGGATGGTTTTCTTTACTGGACTTTTTCTTCAGCTTCCTCCTTATCAAAATAATCATCATTATCATCGTGGTCATCGTTGTCATTGTCATCATCTTCATCTGTAGTGTGAGCTGAGCACATCCTTCAGCACAGAGGCTGTATCAGGCCACACACAGCCCTACACAGACACGGGCTGTCCTGAAGGGCCTCCTGAGTGATGGTGCAGTTGCCTGGCAGGAGCCGGTGGCTGTTGTCAGGCAGGAACTGGGGATTCCCGGAAAGACATGAAGTTGCATCAGACTACCCCAAGGGGGTTAAAGGTTAATGTGGAAGTAATCATTTAAATTGTCAGTGTGATAAGTGCTGTTTGGAGTAAAGCGTGAGAGCCTGGTCTCCTGCCCTGTTGCTTGTCCTTGAGGAGGTGATAGTAAAGCTGAGAGCTAAGGGAGAAGAGGAACTGATTAGTTGAAGAGGAAGATGGAAGCAGAGGAGGCAGCTTGGGCAGGTGGGAGGGAGCCTGGCATGGACAAGGGACCAAGAGAGGCCAAACCTGGCAGCTGCCTAGAAGACTGTAAGTATATAGGTGACACGTGGCCTGGCTCACACAGGGCCTTTGGAAATGGCGTGAAGACTTTGGGTCTTTGTCTCAAGGATCCTGGGTGATTTAGAAAGGTTTTAGGATTAAAGTGACAAGCTCAGATTTATCTTTGCTCTTGAGAAAAACATCTGGGTGCAACGTGGAGAATGAGCTGGAAGTAGGCTATGGGAGCCCTGGAAGACAAGTTTGCTTGACAGTCTTGGTAGGGGGGAAGAGATGATTAAATGAGCCTGGGGTGTATTTGGATCTCTCATCCTGGGAGGGTCCTCCCAACACCCTTTACTTGGTGCTCCCCTCTCTATCTGAGCTGCCTTTTCCCTCAGCGTGTGCGGCTGGCCTCCAAGCCATGGAGTGAACCTCCTGGTACTTGTCTCGGTTATTCTTGGCCGTTAGTCTCCCAATTTGTTACTTTATATTCTGGGGTGTATTTGGAAAGGAGAATTGATAGTGGGGAAATAAAAAACAATGACATCAGGTCTCTGGCGTGGGCCAGAATGGGGTCTTCATTAACCAATACAGAAAAGGCGGGAGGTGAATTAGGTTTTGGGGAAAGAAAAATGAATCCAGATATGGCAGATTCAATGCACAGTGCCTGAAAGTTATTCACATATAGATGTTGAGTAAATCATACTTCAACCTTAATGTTTCCTTTCCTCTTCAGACCCTCCTGTTTTTGGTAAGACATAGAGAAATTGACTATTTACCAACTGACCTCACATATGACTAATTAGATATAAGCTGAGATGATGGACGCTATTTCTGGGTCCCAGAAGTGGAAGTGTTTCTTCTTACTTTTCCTGTGTATCAGTTGGAATTTGGACCCAATGGTTGGAGCGGGAGCAGTCCTCTGAATGACGAGGCAGCACCTTATACTGCCTCCCTTCTCTTTCCCAGAGAACTACTGTTTTATCATTTCTTTACCTCTTCCACCTTCGAGGACACCCATTTCAACCACAAACTCCATTTTAGGGTGAATCTTGCCCTTGACAGGCTGATCAGAAATCCTAGTAAGCTTGGCCTGTGTGCAAAGCTTTATCTTCCTCCTTCCGGGGATATTTGTGGTTTTCCTTGACCCAAGTTGCGTTCGGTCCTTTACCCCAGCAACCAGATGATGGAGGC